GTGACTGGTGGCTTCAAACTGCTGACCTTATGGTTAGGAACCAATACATCACCCACCACACCACTAGGGTTCATTTGGAACCTATACACGGATCAACAGGCAGTTGTGCGAACAGAACAAGGGACTACTGCATGGTTTAGAATCAGGAAAGGTGTGCGTCAGGGATGTTTCATCCCACCGTGTTACTCAACAAGTATGGTGAGCAAATCATTGAGAAGGTGGATTCTGTGAAGAAGAATGATGCATCAGGATCAGAAGATGGCTTATTAAAACCTGGGATGTGCACGTGACACACCTTGCTTGCTGAACGTGAGGACGACTTGAAGCACTTGCTGATGAAGATCAAGGATTGCAGCCTTCAGGATGGATTACAGCTTCAGGCAAAGAAAATCCAAAGCCTCACCACTGACCAATAGGTAGCAACACGATACATGGAGAAAAGACTGAAGTTGTCAAGGATTTTGTCATTCCCGGATCCATAATTAATGTTCACGGAAGCAGCAGCTAAGAGATCAAATGATGCATTGCTGCACGACACCTCTTGTCTTGCTTTGAAAAGAAGGCAAATTACTTTGAGCACGATGGCGCGCCTGACCCAAGCCATAGCATTTTCAACGGCCTCCTGTGCTTGTGAAAGTTGAACATTGAGTAAGGCAGGCTGACGAAGATGCCGTTGAATGATGGTGCTGGTGAAGAATAATGGAAGTACCATGAACTTCCCGAAGAATAAACCGATCTGCCTTGGCAGAAGTACCGCCAGAATGCTCCTTCGAGGCTAGGAAGGCAAGACTTCACCTCCTGTGCTTTTGACATGTTGTCAGGAGAGACCAGTTTCTGGAGAAGGGCATCATGGAGAGTCAGTGGAAAAGAGGAAGTCCCTCAACAAGGTGGACTGACGCAGTGGCTACAACAATGGGCTCAAACAGAGCAACAATTGTGGGGATGGCGCAGGCCCAGGCGGGTTTCATTCTGCTGTGTGTGGGGTTCCCAATGGGTTGGAAGGGATTCGATGGCACCTAATAGTAACAGCTTCTTTAAAGGCGGCGGGAAACCTGGTGAATGCATCATGGTGATGGTCAAGCACCACGATGAAGGTAATTAATACCACTAAGTTGTACACATGAAGCACGTTGAAGTGACAGATGTTTTGTTACACATGTATTCACCGTGATTTAAAAACATTAATGGGAGACTCAGGGAGGTGGTGGAATGAGCGATATTACACTGTGGGGACTGCAACCAAGGACATGAACCAACATGCACGTGAACTGTTGAATGGGAAACCGACCTGCTCTGTAAACTTTCACCTAATGAAGAAGGAAAAAAGTCTTTTCAGCCTCGCTAAATGGAGCTTACCTTATGAAAGACAAGTAGAAGATCCTCGCACGCAGTTTGGGTTTCTGCAACACATCAAAAACGGATGTTCGGATCTGGGCTGCAGCCAGCTCTTTTTGCATGATGGATCTCACAAACTTCAGCAACAGAAACAACAACAAACATTTATGAGATGCAACTAAAGTGCCAGGCATCATGGTGTGTACTAAACGATGAGCGCTATGTGTCTCATCCTCAATGCATTTCTGTTTCATAAAAACACAGTTCCTAAGCAAACCGTCTCACATGTGGAAAGATAAAAAAAGAAGAAGCAAGTCTTCAAGAACAGCCCTACAGAAGAGTAAGTCTCTTCTGCGTTCCCATGCCAACCACATCTTCATTTGGTGAGATCTCTCAGGTTGCTGGCCCTGAGTAATGGCAGGTCTTCTGGGAATAGCTTGATTTTTTCCCTCATTATCTTCACTGCAGTCTTCCGTTTAGAATCGTAAGTTCTTCTTTATCAGGGCATTCTAGTAGGCATTTAGGAAGCCTCGGTGGCACAGTGGTTAGGTGCTAACTGAAAGGCCAGTTGTGTCATGGAAGAAAGATGGGGCAGTCTGCCCCGGTGGCCGACACTGCCTTGGAAACTCAATGGGACAGTTGGACTCTGTCTTACAAGGTCACTAAACGTCGGAGTCAATGTGATAAGGCATCTTTTCTCTTTGGGAGTTGACCCTGGAGCTATGTCAGTTGTACCATTGTCCACACTGGCATGCATGATGCCTGAAATATACTCCCTCCTCCTTTTTACTAGTTAACTCTGAATCCTTTTCTGGAAACGTAAAACTTCACATTGTCTAACTAACAGCATAAGGACAGCACTGATGATACATTCCAGGGAGAGGGCCAGACAGGAAAAGACTGAGAGAGAGAGAGAGAGAGAGAGAACAGTATCCTGGCCCACCAAGCCTCGAGTATGACATTCTCACTCAGAGCAGCCAATGCACAGAGAGGACCATAGGGTCAGCCTCA